TTCTCTTGAGCTTTCGAAAGTGTACCCTCTCCCCACTTGGCAAAATCTGTCTCGATAAATATTCTTTTTACTCAAACTTACTCAAACAAATGAATTGTCCTTTCTTTTCAATGCACATGAACATATTTTTAGTCGTAGAATCCCACCATTCGTTTAATATCTAGCCAGTTTATTTAATTCAGTTACCCCGTGCGACATTTTAATATTTAAATCCGTGGGACGTTAATAGCGATATATTACATTAGGCTGTATGGATAAATGTGATGACTGTGTCGATAGGCAGTACTTTGCTGTGCCGATGGCAAGGCCCATCGGCGTGCCGACCTGTGCCTATCGACGTGCCGATCGGCCTGCCGACTACGCGCCGATTGGAGCATGCCGATGTGATCTTAGGCATGATGTGTACTGTACTATTTGTTGTAACTGGTTTTGTTTATGTTCGATTTTACTTACTCCGTGGGGTGAAAACCGAAGTAATGTTACGGATATTGATGCAATAAATACACTATATGGAACAGAAAACTAAGGTTGGTGCAGTATTTTCTTCTACTGTGTATCAATGAAAGGATGAACGATTTTTGTAGGCATCTCATTCGGTGGTGCATTTAGTAATGTATTTTTTGGACGTATTCTTTGCAAATTGATGCCCGGGGATAACATGAAATAAGCGAAAAACTATTGAGTCTGAAATTCCTGAAAACTACACAAAATTTAGTAATTTGTTTATTTTCATCGTTAGGGCATGGTCTACATTGCCCAACGACCTCGGGGTATAAAGATGTAACCTACATACGATCATAAAAAGCCAATTGAGCATTGGAAACCACCTAATATGTTCTACTTAAGCCATAATATTGTATTTTTGATTTGCGGTTACGCAAAAAATTAACGGTTTCGCGAACCTCGTTCAAATATGTATCCCAGATTCATTGTTATTAATTTTGTCATATTCATCAGTACTTGATTCTAATTCTTCTTTTGCCTCTTCATTGCTATCTTTTTGACTTAAATTGGTTTCATAAATAAAGCAAGACACAATTTTTTCCTTGCCCTATAGAGGCTCAAACAAGAGCGTCTATTGCGAGTCTTAAAAACAAATATAAGCAATTCAATATTCCATTTCTTACCCATTATAACAATTACAACATGGAAAGAGGCTATCAGAACTAGCAACCTTGACTTGAAAGATGTACATGCACGTAACCGTCCGCTAAATATCTAATGGACATCTAATACAATACGTTACCGTCCATAGAATTCATACGTAGTCGTCTAACGACATTGCGTTTGAAACCTTATTATTATTTACAATATTACCACGTTCCTGTTCTGGATTTCTCATTGTATGGCTTGCTTATACACACTTTACTTACTGTTAATAGTTTGAGTGGGTCTGGGGCACATATACCGAGTAATCACGAGAATGGACTAAAAAATATGAACTTGGACATCTCAGTCGGTAAGTTTACAGCTTATATTCCGCTTCTAGTAAACCACCTGGCAGACTTGACCCAGTCTTTATAACCATCCATATATACGTCACCGAATGGAACTAGTTGAAAAGGAAATCTTATCTGTGAATCTTGCCTACAGGTGAGAAAAAGGACATGCTGTCTTTCCAATCCGCCATTTTTTGTTATCGTTACCGAAACATTTTGCAAATCGCCTTGACATAACCGTCATGCTATAACACCGTGGAGTAGGTCTGAGTGAAATTGCTTGCCTTGCCTCTATATCAGTAATATGAGTAGTTGTAACACGTTGTCCTGTACACGAAATGAAGGTCAAGTGTTTTAACATATCATATGTGTTAAACACACACAAACAGTAAGTTGGTTGCGTAATCAATAACACTAACACTAACCTTAATCAATATCAAATAAAATGAATAACATAGAAGATGATACAAATGATGAGCAAACAGATAATCATCAGCAAGAAACAGATTTGACAACTGTGGATTTTAATGTACCGGCGCGGGTAATATTGAAGCATGGTATAAAAGCAGCCTTATACAAGGGTGAATTTTATCCCAACATTTGGCCAAAAGTGTCAATTCCAAATGAGCCAGATGTTAACATAACATGGAAAGATTGGTTTGAAAGCTTCAAGGACTTCAAGGCAAGAGAAGATGACGTCATTGTATCATCATATCCCAAATCAGGTAATAAAATGTAAGCCAACCTGAAAATACAAATGGTTGAAGATGCTTTGAAGGGAGATTCAGATTTCAGAAATGTAGCTTTTAAAACCGGAATTCAGCAAGTTAAGCACATAAAGACGATTCACTATTTTACATCTCATATAGTATAATGAAACCATACTTTGAAGAGATCTCCAAGACCAAGTGATAGCGATTTCCCGCTCTGGGCAGCCATTTTGAATTTTCTGAGGTATGAATCAGACAAGAACACAAATGTGTACAAAATGTCCCCACCAATGGGTGATCCCATGAAATGGTTATCCTGAAAATGAGTAGACAAGACTTTACCAACACAATCTGAGGACGGAAAATCCAAAATGGCCACCTTAAAATTTACCCAGAATGCCAAAAATTTAGTCAGTTCTAGATTTTCAAACTAAGAACCACCCCTGAAAATTTTTAATTGATCCGTCACACAGTTAACTAGAAAACATGTAAACAAGACTTTACAGACAAGATTTTAGGATGGAAAATCCAAAATGGCTGCCTTGACATTTACCCAGAATGTCAAAAAACTAATCTGTTCCTAGATTTTCATACTAAGAATCATCCCTGAAAATATGACATTGATCTACCAAATGGTTCACCTGAAAATCCAAAATGGCTGCCATGACATTTACACAGAATGCCAAAAAACTAATCAGATGTAGATTTTCACACTAAGAATCATCCCTGAAAATTTGAAATTGATCTACCAAACGGTTCACCTAAAAACGCGTAGACAAGACTTTACAGGCAAGATTTTAAGACGGAAAATCCAAAATGGCTGCCTTGACATTTATCCAGAATGCCAAAAAACTAATTAGATCTAGATTTTCATACTAAGAATCATCCCTAAAAATTTGAAATTGATCTACAGAACGGTTCACCTGGAAATGCATAGACAAGACTTTACAGACAAGATTTTAGGACAGAAAATCCAAAATGGCTGCCTTGACATTTGCCCAGAATGCCAAAAAACTAATCAGTTCTACATTTTCATACTAAGAATTATCTCTGAAAATTTGAAATTGATCTACCAAACGGTTCACCTGAAAACGCGTAGACAAGACTTTACAGACAAGATTTTAGGACGGAAAATTCAAAATGGCTGCCTTGACATTTACCCAGAATGCCAAAAAACAAATCAGATCTAGATTTTTATACTAAGAATCATCCCTGAAAATTTGAAATTGATCCACCAAACGGTTCACCTGAAAACACGTAGACAAGACTTCACAGACAAGACTTTAGGACGGAAAAATCCAAAATGGCGGACAATAAAAAAGTGATTATGTGTTTTTGCTGATTTCTTCTTACAAAATTATCACATATAACTACTGTTAACAATAACATAGGCTTTTACAACAAAGTACATCTGAAATTATTTATAAAGCTACTAAATAGTTAAAGTATGAAAACTCAAAAACACCATTCAATATGATACAAAGTATTATCGTGCGCTAACTTTTCCTAAGACATTCAAAATGGCTGACATGACTGAGCTAACAGGTCCAAAACCTAATCAGATCTAGAATGAAGTGAGCTGAACAAGATGTTAAAGTTTTAAAAGCAACTGTGAAGCCGTTTTTCTTAAAGTTTGCAGACAAGGATTTTAGCATTTGACTTCAAAATGGCCGACAGGAAGTAGGTATCGACTTGAAACTTTTTCATCCACATCTGTATGCACTCATAAGTTATCCCTGAAAATTTGAAGGTGATATCTGTAGCGGTTTTGGAGAAAACTCCCGGACGTACGGACAGACGGACGGACAGACGGACGGACGGACGGACGTACGGACAGACAGACGGACGCGCCTAGGCCGACAATATGGCCCCACACTATGTGGTGGGGACATAAAAAGCAAAACTATCATTGAGATCTACAGTAAAATTAAAATTTTACAAGGTCAAAATCCGAAAAATGATTCAATATTTGCAATCTGCTCAAAATCATCTTTTAACTATAAGAAAGCTATACTTCATAAAATTAACGAAAATTCCCGTTTTAAACAAAAAATATTCCTTAAGTTTAAAAAAATCAGATTTTTGCTTAAAACTTATCACCACTCATCAGCATACATCGTTCCCCCAAAGTAGTGGTATCGATATGGTGAACCTTTTGAACACGCGTTTCTCTTAAACCAGTTATCAAAACATTCTGAAGATTTTTACACATCGTCAATTTAATGGTCATCTTTTGGATGGTAACATTATAATTTGAACTCTATATTGTTTTAGAAAACACATCAGACACTTCTTTTGTTCTTGGTATCATGTGTTCGGAAAAATTTCTTTTGTATAACTATAATATTGGGAGGTCTAAGAAAATGTTGTATATGATATTGTATATGCTATTTTGTTCCAACAAGGTTCGGAAAGACATTTTATTTCATTCTCAAGAGTTGGTAGAAAGGAACAAAAAACAATTGCACTAAAAAACAAAACAAAAATGTTAACAAAAACAGTTATATAAAATATATATAAACAATTTTTGCATTAGTTTGTCGCCAATCAGTCAACATTACATAAAGGACCGTGTTTTTACAGAATGTTTTCAATAATTGGTTTAAGAGAAAAACATTGTTGAATTCAGTTCGCCATATCGATACCTATCCTTTGAAATTGTATTGTGACTTGTATTTGAGATATGCTCCGGACAGACAACCGGACTGACGGACGGACGGACAGAGGGCTTCACTATATCCCTACCGGACTTTGATCGTCGGGGTTATGAAAAACGGAAAACCTCTAACCTGATTTGATTGAGATGATTGAAGTAGGCATAGAAGATATTCTCGTGTGTCTGTATTTCCAGGGCACCATTGGATGAATGAGGTTGTCTATATGCTTCAACATGGCACAACAGATAGCGCCAATGAAGATAAGTTGCGCAACTTCGTGGAGTTTAGGACAATGGATGAACTTGAGAGCATGCCATCACCAAGGCTTTTGTTGACCCATCTGAAATATGATGATATGCCCAAAGTAAGAAAAGATAATATACTTTAACAATTATACTATTACCCCTTCCCCGACATAGAAAACTTCGTTTAGTTCGATGCAAAATTTTAAGAATAAAAATTATTCAATATAACCTTAATGTAATATTGTCGGTTTATTTGCATGCTTTCCACAATCAACTATTATATAAAACAATGATAGGAGGTAAACGTTTCATGTTAGATGATTGATTCCAGGACGTTTTCACTAAAGGGTGCAAGATGTTCTACATGTACAGAAATCCAAAGGATGTGGCAGTATCATACCTCTACCACATGGAGGCATTCAACTACGCATATTGTTTTAATGGTGGATGGACTGAATACTTTGACATGATGCTGAACGGACCGCGTGAGTCAAGTCCTTCTATGACTTGATATGACTAATATTCCCTTTTCTCTTTCTGTAATCTGTATGTTCCGACTTCTCAATTTCCTTGCAGTATGTTTAATTATTATTCGTTGAACTATAGATGAATATGGTCGATGGATTGATTCTGTTCCTGACTGGCTAGAGAAGATATCAGGGAACCCAAACATTTTGGTCATTAGCTATGAGGATTTGAAAAAGGTAGTTTAAAATGCACCTTCTACTCGTCAGACCATTATCCAACTTTGCTAAGGAAGAAAGGCGTCCGTTTTTAAAGAATTTCAAGGGGGCAATTTTGTCTATTATTTTGTCTCCTAGGCTATATGCTAAATGTTACCAGTTCTTCCCATCACCAGGGTTCCGTCTTTTCAGCATATCATTTTAGTGTCGTGATATGTCGTCTTGTGATTTTACTTGAATAGGAATTCATCGACACAGCCAAGAAATTATCCGCACACATTGGCAAGACTTACAACGAGGAGTTCTATGAGAAACTAGCAGAGACGTGCAGTATTGACACAATGAAGAAAAATGATAAGCTAGATTTCGCAAAATTGATAACGGGAAAACCAGCCATACGAAAAGGCATGTTTAACATAAACACAACTTGGATATCAAAAAGGATATTCAGCCGTAAAGGGTTTGTAGAAAAAACCGGATACCGGGTAGTAAATCCTCCAAGCTGGGTTCAAACTTGGTATCCGGTCGAAACAGTCGAAAAAAAACGAAAAATACGAATATATAACGTAATTAGATCATTCGAAAACGTGTAAGATTTGTTTTGAATTTAAAAAAATGTATGTACCTGTAACTTCCTTCAAAATTGAGCTAGAAGCTTTAAATAAAAAACATTTTAAGGCCCTTTTCTTCCTTTATCAACATGGTCATATTTTCATTGGTTATGGGGGGGGACCCCTCCTGGTTACGCCTATGACATTGTAAGACGATTTGGAAAGCATGACAAATCAATCTTACTCTATTTTCAATAGTTCGTATGTTGGTACGTGAATTGTTTTGATTATGATTTAAATCTGTATAATCGTTACTTTAGCAGAGAGGTGACGTGTGCTAATTTACATGATGCAACGTATAAGATATTGATTATTTATCATAATTTAAGTTTTCCCAATTTTCGACAAAACGTCCACTGAAGTGTAAATTGTTACGTCTTACAATGTCATAGTTGTAGCCAGGAGGGCCTGCGATGGTGCGATCGCCCCCCCCCCTTACCAATAAAAATATGTTCATGATGATAGAGGAAGAAAAGAGCCTTAAAATGCTTTTTATTTGAAGCTTCTATCTCAATTTTGAAGGGAGTTACATACATTTTTTGTAAATTCAAAACAAATCTTAAACGTTTTCTAATGATCTAATTGTGTTACATATTCGTATTTTTCGTTTTTGGGGTACCCGTTTTTTTCGACCGGGTACCAATTTTGAACCCAGCATGGAGGATTTACTACCCGGTACCCGTTTTTTCTACAAACCCCAGGTGTAAAGAATCGCATAATAATTATCAAATAGAAATAAATAATTTAAGAATGTTTTAATATTTAGCTAAGTGTATGTATTATTTCAGGCCAAGTTGGAGACTGGAAGAATTACTTCACAGTGGCTCAGAATGAACAATTTAACACCATCTACGACCCAATTATTGACAAACTGAAGTGTAGAGTCCAATTTGAGTAAAAAGGATGCTGAAAATTAAAATCTTATAATCGGATATTGATGAACTTCTCTCTTTGGTAATTGGAAGTTGTGCATGATTATGTTTTGGCAAATTCTACAAATAATAACAAAGAAATTAAAATTGAGGAACGCAATATTAACTATTATATGCGTTCCGAAAGACACCACTTGTTTGGAAACACATGGATGGATCATCTAATCAAGATATTTTAGGAATGGTAGTCATGAAGATGTGAGGACAGTTCTCATTTAGTACATTTACCATTTATGGCAAATTGGACAACTTTTTCAGCAGCCAATTTCGAAAATGTCCAGTGGTCATTGATCATGAAAAGTAGGACAACGTTAGAAAAATTGGCCTACAAGGAATGGTGATATTGTATTTGCAATGTGGGGACATTAAATTACGGCATTTTGACTATACTATTACAATAATTAAGATGTTTTAAAATAAAACGAGTTATATTGTGTGTTTTAATTTGGAATTCGTGGTTCTAAATGCCAAAGTCTCTCATAGGTATTCAGCTCTGATGTTTAAACATAAAAAGCCACACAAACATCGAGCCATCGTTTTATCATCACTAATTTCACAATTAGAACTATTCTTTAAAACAGAGTTCTGTTTTGACCTCCAGTCAATTCAAATAATTTCTCATATCATTTACAGGACAAGGATCACAATGTACATGGTCAGCATTTTTGAAAATGTGATATCATTCGTAGAAAAGAAACAAATGAAAAAACTGAATTGAAAGGCGATCTATTTTTCTTTTTATGACCGCCATTTTTGTTTCAAACAATTTTCTTAAATTTCGAAGATTGTAGAGCCATATATTGGGTACATTTTCTTAAAAATTCACAAGATACTGTTCAGTTACCTTACCCGAGGGCTACTTTTAGCTATTATTTAGTCACAAAAAAAAGTGATTTCTTCATGTTTAGGGTCATTCTGACCATGGCCATTGTAATCCTGGTCATGTAAATGATATGTGGAACTATTTAAATTGACTGGAGGTCAAAACAGAACTCTGTTATCTTTGCTAAAAATGTCAAAAAATGACACATTTTTGTCACTTCCTGTTTTGTAATTTCCTGTAAGTACCGCTGCACCTTAACTTTGTATTTTTCCAAAATATCACTAAATATGAAAAGGTTGCAAATAAAGTTGATCCTTGTGTGAGCCCTATAATTATTTACTTTGCCAAAAATGAATATAATGGTAATTAAAATATTTTAAAAACATTCAATAGGTAAAATAGGAATATTATCATTAACAACAACGACTTTTGAATTAAGATGGCATTTTCAGGTCAGAAATATATAATTCTTCACTGTTTTTTTTATAAAAATGGCCACACGCAAATGGACTATCATACTTCTCAATATCAAATTTGCCTCCTATATTGTGATGTGTCGCAAAAAGGTCGCGCACGCATTGTTACACATTTTCGCTTTTTAACACCACAGAATGTGACGTTTTTTGAGAAAAATGTACACATATGGAAATCCTTTCGTCCTCCACATTTGCCTCAATATCTCAAAATATTTAAGGCGAATAACTCTGATATCGTATATGTATTAAAAAATGGGATGGGTGCATTATTAAACACGAATCAATTGATATTTTAGGTGAAATAAATATACGTGTTGCTGTGCTTGAAAATAGGCGAATGGCGTAAATTAGCCCTATTTTAATGAATTTTGAAAACCTTTCGTCCTCCACTTTTCCACATACAACAGAAAACACATACTTTTGCGAACAAAATCAACTATTTATTAATAAACTAGAGTTTAAGAGCAAAATAATCATGTATGATATATTAAAAAATGATTTTATAAAACTTCCATCTACCTTTATCAAGACGAAAAATAAGTATAATAGTCAAATATTGTTTGAGTTATGAGCGTTTAAAGACGAAAAATAATTCAAAATGTAACGTGTCAATAGGGGATATTTGCCAGATGTTTTGGTAAAAAACTATTTTTTTTAAAAAGAACGCGCAAGAATCGTGAACGGAGTGTAGTTGATCTAAAAACTTCATCGAAACAGCTTTAAAATGATATATAACTAGAATTAGAATATTATCTTATAATCCGGGGAATCAAAGTTACATTCACGCGATACCCTTAAAAAGCCAATGTGCCACCTTTATTAAAAATGTTTTTTTTATCAAACTCATATTTTTGATGGTTGCACCTTGTGGCAAGCCGTTGAGCCTTTTCGTGTCTCCTTTTTGAATGCAGACAAGTAAAAATGAATAGTTGATGGATCAATCTATAATGATAATGGGTCACTTCATAGTAAGCTACCCAATACATAGGTTTTTGTGATTTTCTGGAGTTTTGGCACACATTAAATAAGGATTATGTCAATCATGTGTTTGTCGAAATCACTTGTTTTCAGCATGGGCGATAACCCTGTGACTAGATGACCTTCAAGTATACTTTCCCGAGTTAAAAAATGCCCAACCACAAGGAGCCGAATTTCCGACGTGTGAGCCAGTATCAGGCCTCCTAGACTTCCAACAACGCGAAAATCAGTTCTGATACCGCGAACTACGTTCCTTGCACTCGAACCACGAATCTCATATCGCGAACGTGAAATCTTATGTCGCGCACCACCATTTCCTTGTTTCAGAACATATTTCTTGTACCTCGCACACAGATCCGTTACCGCGAACAATTTGTACATAATACATCCGGGTGTTTGGGATTCCAAGTTACATGTATATACCAAAATGCAACGGAGTGAAACAAGGAAACGAAATTCAGTTTCTCCTCCGCTTTTGCCGGACTTTCGTTCCTTTGAAAAGCATGCAATATTAACATCCACGCCCCGAGTTGGCAGGGCTTTAAATGATGTGTCAAAGGACAGCACTGCGTCCCACAGTCATTCATTTTTGCGATCAGAGAGTATCTGCGCACGGTGTGGTGTAATAGGAGATGTCATTTGTAAAAACCACAACGAAAGTGTAGAGGTGTGTGATAGCTGTGGTTGGACCAGAAACTGTCTTGACACTAGTATATCACACGCTTGCAACGATGATCATGTTCCCAACATCCATTTTTGTGACTCATGTGGATGGCTGAGAGACTCAGCTGATTTCAGGTAGATCTACCGTCTTTGTATAGTTTAAATCTTTTTTCTTACACTGGTTTAGGTGCCATGGTAGTTAACAGGAAATGACAAAACAGGAAGTAACAAACCATGCTGGATTTCAAACGTTTTTTGAACCAAGATATCAGAGTTCTGCTTTGATCTCCAGTCAGTTTAACTAGTTCCACATACCTTTTACATGACCATGATCACAATGACCATGGCCAGATTGACCCTAGACATGATGAAATAGATGTCAATTAGACATTAGACCATAAACAGATCGGATAATTATTGTGAATTACGATTTAGATGCAGTTCTTTGACCTACCTGTCCGTGATTTCTACTCGAAGGGGCGGTATTTCTACTCGAAGGCGCGGTAACCTCTACGGAAAACGGCGGTATGAACGGGAAGGGGCGAATTTGATCCCTACCTGTGAATTAGTTTCTTAATAGCCCTTAGTGATTCCCTAGTATGCTCGGGTTGTGCTTAAATAGCCCCAATTAGTTTCTTAATAGCCCTTAGTGATTCCCTAATGTGGCCGGGTTGTGCGTAAATAGCCCCAATTAGTTTCTTAATAGCCCTTAGTGATTCCCTAGTATGCTCAGGTTGTGTTTAAATAGCCCCAATTAGTTTCTTAACAGCCCTTAGTGATTCCCTAATGTGGCCGGGTAACCGGGTTGTGCGTAAATAGCCCCAATTAGTTTCTTAATAGCCCTTAGTGATTCCCTAGTATGCTCAGGTTGTGCCTAAATAGCCCCAATCGGTTTCTTAACAGCCCTTAGTGATCCCCTAATGTGGCTGAGTTGTGCGTTAATAGCCCCAATTAGTTTCTTAATAGCCCTTAGTGATTCCCTAGTATGCTCGGGTTGTGCTTAAATAGCCCCAATTAGTTTTTTAATAGCCCTTAGTGATTCCCTAGTTTGCTCGGGTGTGCTTAAATAGCCCCAATTAGTTTCTTAATAGCCCTTATTGATTCCCTTATATGCTCCGATTCTGCTTAAATAGCCTTAATTAGTTTCTATATAGCCCTTAGTGATTCCCTTATAGTCTTGTGGTGCTTTAGTAAGTGTCCCAAATTAATCTATTTAAATAATAAAAAAAGCATTTGACCTCACATGAACAATGTATGACAGGCTGAGTTGAATTGTATGATGAATTTGGCTAAGATAAAGCTTTAAAAGTTTGTTTTTTTGAAAAAGAAATACCAATGCAAAGATTGGACAAAGGACACACTAGTTTAAGAATAAATATCAAATGTTATTTACGAGCCATTTTTTTGAAAAAACATGTGCGGATGATTGCTATGCATTGGTGTGAATGATCTCTTATTAAAATATACTCTTGACCCCTGAAAGTTCAAAAGACACTTTTTAAAATTTAAAAAAGAGGTTTCACATATCACACTTTGATAACATTGGGTAAGACCACAATATAAGCCAAAGAAGTTTAAAGTTAATATGGGGCCTTTAAAAATGTCAATGTTAGCATTGTGTTTCAACAATGAAAATTATTTTGACAGTCAAATCTTAAATGAAACAAAAGGTTTAGAAGATAATGTTAATCCCAACTTTAAATTAGGTTGCGTTTTAGGGGTTAATCAACAATATTTCCTCGAGTTATAATTTTCACCAATAAATACTTCTTTAAATACACAAATTAATCTAACTCTGGTCAATTTAAGCTACTAGATAGTATTTGTGATGATCTTATGTGTTAGAAATAAATATTAAACATTATTTTAAATATGAGGTGAAATTGTAGAGGGCGTCACCTTTAGGCCCAATTTCTCATTTCAAATTCTTTTTCTAGGGCCAGGACCAACTTAGAGTGACCTAGGTCACATAATATTTCTCTAATTTTGGCCTTGCTGCTGACCTATTACATAGTCTGTAAGTCTTGATAAATCTTGCATCTGGCAAAACTATGCTATGTCATGAAATGCAATTTTAGTTTTGGTGCAACATGTATCGTATTTAATTTTGATTTCAACAGTAAATAAATGTACCTAGATCTAACATAATGCATCACTTCATAGTAAAAAATATATATCTGGTGTCCCAGAAAAGTATTTTCTGGGCAACTGATAAACCAAATTCACTAAAAATTTGCACAAAAGATCAAACAAATATATATTCTGTGATCAGTCAAAATAGCTTGTCTGTGTGTCATGACTAATTAATTTGTTTCATTCTTCCAAAATATCCAAAATCCATTTATTCTCAAAATTCATTGGAGATGATATTGTTAGAATAAATACGGAAAAGTATTTTTGCTTGGAAATGGGTTAATAAGTAACGTTTACACTGATATTGGATATTTTGACATACTGTGTTTAATTTACAAATACACACATAATATATGAGCAATTTCTTACTTATTCATAGTGCTAGCAGAAGAAGAATTTGGTTCATCTATTCCTGAGAAATTACACGTCAAATTATTTCCCGTTTTTTGGGTGCAAACGATATAAAGTTCTCAGTGCGTTGCTCCGGTATGGGATCTTTTGACATTCTACGTTGAATTAATTAGTACTCACATTTACTTGATCTTTTTCATAGTGTTATACGTTGTTAATGATACTCTTGGGCTACTTTGTACAAATTTTCAGTGAATGTGGTTGCCGAGAAAATACTTGTCAAAGAGTGTCTCATTTTTGGGACACCCGATATATATAACACCATGCTGTATAATTATTTCATTGTAAATATGTAAACTTAAGGTCAAAATTAATCATAATGAATAGTTTGCATATTTTTTCTAGAAATACCACAAATTATTTTTGCTTTCATATGGTACCAATGTCATTATGATCTCATAATGATTAATATAAACTGTTACTATGGAAACGAACGATTAAAATAATTTTTTGCCTAAAAATCTTAAAAAAACACCAGTGCATCTGTAAAGCTCAATATGCAAGCTTTTGATCAGTATCAAAGCCCAAAAATACCTTCTACCTTTCTCATTCAATATCTGGATTTGTTAAAATTCTCGATACTAGATACATGTGTTTGATTTAGGCCTCTATCTTTTTGCATAATGACATCAAAATCACAATGATATTGTTTGCCTGATATATAAATACATGTTAGTGTTGTGTTCAGTCACGTATAAACACAAAATAGTTTATCTTCAATACTATTAGGCTACAAAAGCACATGATATTTGTTTGTATTTTGTAAAATCACCAAAAATCGAGCGTTTCTATTTCTATGACATCACAATGATCCTGAAACCTTGAGAAATGTGTATTTTTAACAAGTTTGTTAAATTACCTTTACAATGATAGTTTTAATATGATATATGTTCAAACAGTTCTCTAGATATCTTCGAAGTATATTCCTGGACTTAATAGTGACATCATTGCAGTTACCATGGAAACCATCATTTTTAGAAATGTTCTCACCTGTTTTGATTTATTTTAGTCATTAGGCATGTTAACACAGATGCTAAGCTTTCCAACAGTACCATGATTAGACAGTAACCTTTTTATAGATATATTAAACGTGACATTTTAATGTTGAGGATTTTTAAATTATCATTGAAAATGTATAAAATAGAATATAAATGTCTCAAATATATCTGGATTTGTCAAAAATCTCGATATTAGATATTTGAATTAGGCCTCTATCTCTTTGCATTATGACATCACAATCATAATGATATTGTTTGCCCGATAATATACATATAAGTGTTGTGTTAAGTCACTTTTAAACACAAAATAGTTTAATTAGATAATGTAGCTTACATTACCATACGACACGTGTCTAGATTCTGTCAAAATCACCGTAAATCAAGCGTTGTTAGTTCTTTGACATCACAATAGGCTCGAAAATCCTAAAAATATGTTTTTTCAAAAGGTTTTTTAAATTACCTTTACAGTGGTACTTTTATCATGATGTATGGTCAAAGCGTTCTCTATATATGTTCAAAAGTATATAATTTGTCCTTAATACTGACAACATTGCAGTTACCATGGAAACCAGCATTTTTAAGAACTTTTCCACCTGTTCTGAATTTTTATAGTCTTCAAACATGTAAGTGCAGGTGTTTAGCTTTCCAACGGTACCAAGATTAGCCGGTAACCTTTTGGAGGTTTAAACTTCTTTATTTGAAGACTTTATGAGATCTGGCTACTCATCTATTTAGGCTAGTACCCTGTCACCCAGTTACCCGGTTACCCGGTCACCCGGTTTTTTACACAAACTCGCCGCTCCCCCGCCAGAAATTCTTTCCAAATCACGTAGTCTAGTTTTTCACCATTCTGAGCACGTTTCGTCTGATTTTTTGCCCAAACTGTCAAAAAGCCCCCCCCCCCCTTTGGCAAAGACTTGGCAAAACGAACTCCCCCTAATGGCAAAACTGCCAGTCCCCCCGGTAAATCCTGGCTACGGGACGAGGCCTCAATAACGACAATAAGGCCTCCGTTTGGGCGTTGCTGGCTTTGATCGTTTTGGGGCCAGCCAAGTTATGAACCAAGAAAACGAATGGCTATTCACAGCATACCCCCATAGATGTGGGGTTATTTTGAGGTTTTTTGATATTTAGGACATTTGTTTCTCAAAATTTTGAGAAACAAATGTCCTAAATATAAAAAAAACTCAAAATAACCCCACATTTATGGGGGTATTCACAGCATGGACTTCAAATATAGTACTAGTCTAGTCTAGATCTATAGTAAACCATATAAGAATTTAATTCTTATATGGTTTACTATAGAACTTAACCAAACCTTAATATCGTAGATCTACGACGTCAGGAGTAGATAACTGGGCCAGACGGGTTTGGTTAACTTTAGACGGTGAACACCGCCTCTAATGCGTTGGATTGTCGTAAGGACGTGCATGAATGCACCTAGGTTAACTTAACCTCAGCCTATGTTCAATTCCTTCGAATTTTTTTACAACAGTGATCTGAGTAAAGGTTTCTATCGTTTCTTTACGATTGATATATTATTTGATAAAACCTTATCATTATTATATGCTTTTACCTATCTTTGGTCAACACTGTCTTTCTTTAGGCAAGGAAACAGAACGAAGTATAACTTTTCTCGACTCCTAAATTATTCTTTATTATCGCCCAAAATAGTCTCTAACCAATCACTTTGTCACGGTTTAGAGGCTATTTTCGGCGCCATGCTAAAAGTCTGTGAAAGAAAAGTCTTTGTGTAATTTAAATAAAGTTGAACTACTACATATATATGTGATCAACAGAGTTATTAAGGTATGCTGCAATTTTATCTTCAATAATATTATTTCATTTTGAACCAGGTTTTGTTATCCATTTTTACCAAAACACCCGTGAATTTCGAACACAAAATATGAAACTGTCAACAATTTTTAGATTTTTTTCAAAAATCAGCAGATTTTGTTTTGACCACAATTTTTGCATTCATGATCTCTAATTCAATACAAATAGGTTGATATAAGGCCCATCACTGTAATCATGCCCTTCCTCTTGAAAACCCATGTTTACTACTTTTTTCAAGGCCCGACTGCGTCGCTAACTTGCTAAATATAAGAGTTAACTGACGTTTGGGAGTCTTGACTTACTTTCTAAAGGTTAGAACCCGAATCTTAATGAAACCATATCACCTTTGTTCCGTCAACCATGGAGCATTTGCCACAACATCCAAGAGGTAAATCATGGATCGAGAAAATGAATGATTTCCTTGTAACATATTTGAAAACCGAATATTTGTTCGTTGTTTTCACGATTTACAGGTTCGTTTGTTCTTCAATGTTTTGGTCTAAATTATAAAGCATCACCAACAGGTCTTACTCTATTAATCGACTAATACAGCAGACGGGTAGGTACGAAAATTTCCAATGAACATGCGTGACATATACGGGATTCGCGTGACAAATCCGAACAAATTGCGTTCGTTTTTTTCCGACGTTCGTATTTTTACCGTATCATAAACATATTTTGAAAAAATTTTTACAGAAACATATTTGCGTGACAATTACCAGGTAAAATGCGTATTTGCGTGACATTTTGTGTCACGCAAAAAAAACTGGCGTGACTTCAAATTCTTCAGCAAATGCGTGACAAATACGCAAATTGCGGGACAGTTGACAGGCCTGCAATAGTGGGAGTGTAGATCACGCAGTTTCGTTCGTTGCAGGGGCGGATCTGGGAACCAACAAGGGGGGGGGCCCAAACTTCTGGTCTGCGAAAAAAAACGTCCGCGCTTGCGCGGAAAAAAATTTTGGGCCCCTAAAACCCAAAAGTGGGCCCAAATTTTGAAATTTTGAGGCCCATTTTCTTCAAAATTTGGCCTAAAATTAAAAAATAAGGCCTTAGAAGGCCCATTTATGACCAAAAAGGCCTACTTTCTGGGGCCTTTAGACCTTTTTTGGCTCAAAAAATTTTTTGGGCACAAATTTTTTTTTCTGGGCCCACCCAAGGGGGGGGGCCCGGGCCCCTGGGCCCCCCCCCAGATCCGCCAGTGCGTTGCGTACTTCACTTGAAATTGGTAATTTTAAATATTGACTACTTCACTTAGCTTGGCGGATGTAGAACATTGCTTAATATTCTTTTAATTTTCACACCAGACATGCTTGGTTGACACGTCAACAAAGTAAAGTTCAAGGGTCAATGCGTTATTTCGTGATAACTACAACGCCTTCCCGGAAGTCAACATTGATGAAAAATGAAAAAGTCGGAAAAGCATTTACGCTAATTTCTATCAAATGCTATGTTTATGCATCATCATCGACGCAACAAAGGTGATATGGTTTCATTAAGATTCGGGTTCTAACCTTTAGAAGGTAAGTCAGACTCCCAAACGTTAGCTAACTCTTATATTTAGCATGTTAGCGACGCAGTCAGGCCTTGAAAAAAGTAGTAGTGGAGTTTCAAGTCTAACATCCCTGGCCCAAAAATACTTGGAAAGTTCTCAAAATGGTGAAAAACTGCATAATTTGGAAAGAATTTCATTCTGGGAAGGGGGTCGCTATATACTCGTTGTCGTTGTCAAAATTTGAAAATTGGCCGAAAATAATTACATGTATGCCAAATAAGTCCAATATAGAGTACCACATCTATAAAATAGACAATTAAAACCTTTCTTTTTAGAAAAACTGATGTAGGTAGCAATCATGGCAGATTCAAAAGAAGAACCCAGGGCACTGGTCAGTTCTCTATTGAGAGAACTTAAGGACTTCAAACCTTACATAGAAGAACATATTAGGAAAATAGATGGGACAATTACGCTTCTACTCATGAAGACAGACATGGTGAAAAGAAGAATACAGCTGACTCATCAACAGCTACTACATCAGCTGAACAGGGTATGTTCATAATACTCACAATCATTTTTAGAGGTGTCATGCACACGGACGTCAAGTACGTTTCTGGCGAAAGCTGGAGCATAAATTATTTAAGAGGACTGGAAACAAGATGGCAGTCTATTTCAATTCTGCCAATTCGTGTTGGCCTATTTATCACTTTTGACTCAGCCTGTTCATTTAGTTTTACTTACCTTAGATGCTTAGTAATCTATTTCAGTGGCGTAGCCAGGATTTGGTGACCGGGGGTTCTATTTTTATGTTATTCACACCCCCCCCTTCCTCAAATAAAAACATGTTTGCGCCATTTGTACAATTTACACTCCATCCAAAAGTTTGGCAATCCGAACGAACCCATTGGATTTTGTGTTAAAGCATCTTTAAGTTGGAATTCTTTATTTGCATAATTTGTAAAGAAAAAAACTATTTTGGGAGTGAAAATATAAATTGACATCATTTTAATACCTTCATGAGTAAAGTAGACAATTGAATTTGAATTTTATTTAACAAAAAATGATGATGATGATGAAAGGAATTGACTATATCAAGAAGCTTCTCTCATTGAAATAACACAGGACGTAAAAATGATTTTCAAAAATGACCTTGTAGCTTTGTAACATAAATGTCTACAAAGGAAAAAAACGCAGCGTGCAAAAAGGTTAGACAACTCAATTTTCTGCATCAAAATACTTTTCAGTGAATCTTTTACTGAATATCTATCCTGAAATCTGATTTGTCCCGAATCCACCATTATTTCGTCTAATTTTGGGAAGACCCTGGACCGTGATTTTTTACCAAGGAATATAAACTATTTTGCACAATTAATTCTTTAACTTAAAAGCTACTTCATATAGGACAAAATAAGTCACCCCATGCAATGGTTTATCCTTATTTTGCAATGATATTGTTGGAAGCCAGTTTGGATCAAATGCAAGGCCATGCAAGGTCATTGTTAATGGCGCAGACACCCTATACCGTACTCGGAAAGATCGTTCTTCTATGATAATTTTTCACAACGTTTACCATGGGCGTAGCGCTAATTTTCTAAGTAGTACGCCACCACCACGGAACAAGAGTTGAGTGAATCAAAAAACGAGCATTTAGGGCCTAGGGGGGTCTGGGGGTTCTCCCCCACGAAAATTTAGAAATTTGGTTGTATTTGGAGTGAATTTGCAGCCATCTGGTACGCCTGTGCGTACCCAGCGTACCGGGCGCTTCGCCCATGTTTACATGTTAAGGCTTTTTTAACTATCCGGGATATTCATATTACTGAAGAAAACATCTGTTATTCATTAAATAAGTGGGTCTCGGTTATGCTTAGTGTAAAAAAAATTTAAAAATTCTTTGTACGTCCCCGGAGCAGATCAACTGCAATTGATAATAATAACGTTTTGATGTATATGAACCATTTATGAATGAAAGCGACTGTTCCACTATGAAACATATTTTGTTAAGAAGTTCAGACGGCTTGATAACAAATTAGGCCTACATTATCACAGGCTGGTATCGAAAAATTTGTCCGCTGTGACGGAGCGTGCTATTTTGCATAGAATCACTAGGAAATCCACACAATTTATTTTTTTACTCATATGTTTTGCTATATCAAAGAACATTACTGACTCCATGCAATGAATATATCATTTGCGGGTAACTTTAAATTCTGTTTGAAATCCAACAACGCTATGAGTAAAAGCTATTGAAAACGGCGCCGGAGTATCATACTCCAAAATGTACCATTTCTTTTATTTCTTTTTAATGGTACAATATAGCGACACGATAATATTTACATATGTTTTCAGCATAACTCTGAAGGTATTAATGAGATCTTTATGTATTGGGTATTTTTAAATTTTTTGATAAAAATGATAATTAATTTTTTTGTCCGCTGTGACGGAGCAGTTTCAAATCTGAAATGCGTTAGGAGCGAGCGTGTCAAATCTCTCTTTCGTAAAGTATTCTAAAAAATGAAACGTAACAAAAGTACACATTTCAAATTCTGAGATGAATATACGACCACTCTTTAAGCTTCTTTTCTCAGTTTGTACTGCAATCCAACTTATGCATGGTAATCATGAAAATTATAGTCAACTTCCATTTCAGTGAAGGGTATTTGCCTTTCGTAGTGCCCTCTGTGGATCCATCGGCCTGACATGGTCATTTTTTAAGGTAACTTAATTATTTGAAGTAAAATGATTTATGAAGCTAAATACATTTAATGGTATGGACTGTGGATTGTTCTACCCTCTTTAGTCGTTCCAAAAGGTAAGTTGAATGTATCTTGAAATATGAAAATGCAAAATTTGATTTTAAGATCGTTCTTTATTTGACTAAGAGTTATGACTATCTGATGCAACTACAGTAAAATATATGTACAGTGAATACATATGGAGCCCAAAAATGTGTTCCCACTAGATGTTCACTCCATAGAGGCAATTTCATACAGAAGTCAGAGGAATATTTGATAAGAAGAGGTATTCACTAGAGGCCCTAGAGAAAGATATTCATTGATACAGGTTTTACAGTGCAGCACGTTTACAAAGACTTTTTTTTATAATTTTATTCTATGAAAAACGATGAATTTCAAATAATAACAAATTAAATCTGTATTGGGATCATCTTATATACAGTAATATAATATTATGTGGTAAAAGGTTATACATCTGTCGGAATGCATGATGTATGTGCGCTATTTCGAATAAGTAAATTCATATTAGCCCTATTTACACTACACGTGACATTTCAAAACGTCTAGGCGAAAACGTATTAGAAATATTATGTTGAGTTTACATCATGTTGATTCATGTTGATTTCAGTACAAACCTCCAAAAATGCTAAGAGTGGTCGTTTTTATATCTCAGATTTACATTACCCCATATCTCCAAGAGGCTGCTTGTCATTATTTAGGAAAGTGATTTGTGACGTTCTCTCTTCTAAAGCCCGGTAAACACCAATGGGGCAAGTTGGGACCTCCATAGACTTAACATTGCGTGGGACCTCGTGGGACCTTTTGGGATTTTGCCCCATGAAGTCCTTGGGACTCCATGGGACTCCGTGGGATTTTGCCCCATCTTGCCCCATCGAGTCCCACGAGGTCCCATGAAGTCCCACGTGGGACTCGATGGGGCAAGATGGGGCAAAATCCCACTAAGTCCCATGGAGTCCCATCGAGAATGAACATGTTCATTCTTTCCATGGGGCATCGTGGGATTTTCGATCATATGACGTGTTGTGTGAAGCCCGACATACACCAATGGGGCACAGTGGGATTTGATGGGACTCCATGGGACTTGATGGGACTCCATGGGGCACGATGGGACAAAGTCATCAAGGTCCCATGGGACTTCGTGGGATTCGATGGGGCAAATTGGGATTCGATGGGGCAAGATGGGACTCGATGGGGCAAGTGGGATTTTGCCCCATTGGTGTATACCGGGCTTAAGGGTACTTTTAAAATATATAATTTGAATCTTAAATTCTTAACGTAGTTCACAGTTAAAACTGCTCCGTCACAGCTGACAAAAAATGTAAACATTATTTTTTATAAAAAATATTAAAAATACCCAATACATCAAGATATCATTAATACCTTCAGAGTTATGCTGAAAACATATGTAAATATTATCGTGTCACTATATTGTACCATTAAAAAGAAATAAAAGAAATGGTACATTTTGGAGTATGATACCCCGGCGCCGTTTTCAATAGCTTTTACTCTTAGCGTTGTTTGACTTCAAACAAAAGTTAAAATTACCCGCAAATGATATACCCATTGCATGGAGGAAGACATTTTCTTTGGTATAGCGAAACATATGAGTAAAAAAATAAATTGTGTGGGTTTCTTAGTGTTTCTATGCAAAATAGCACGCTCCGTCACAGGGGACAAATTTTTCGATACCAGCCTGTGATTATTTGAATATTAATACCATATGATTTTTCAATGTTTTTTATTATGTAATGATATTCATGAAAATGGAAAGCATGTACACTGAAACAATAACAATTTAAACCTTACACAATCTCTAAGATGAGTGGAGTGTATCTGAAAAAAAACAGAACTATTTTTTGCAATGGATTGATTTTTCTTGAAAAAGTGATGGATAGTAAAACTCGTTTGAACAAATGCTTCTGTTCATAAATGATATATGCTTTTGAATAACTCATTTCACAACGTTTTTTATTATTTAACACAATTGATTTGGTTTGGGGGACTTGCCAGCCCCGGGCACGTCCAAAGAAATATTTTCAATTTTAATTGAAATAAAATAAAACAGAGATGTACACATTTGAAAGAACATGTGCTTTTCCAATATTACAACTATAGTCCAGATATTTGTTCGTGTAAATGTTGTAAAAATTACAGTCACCAAGAGGAGGTAATTTCAGGCGAGATTCGGGAAATAAAAAGGTAGGTCATTCTTGTGTCCAGTCCTTCAGATAATCTATGCTCCGGCTTTCGCCAGAAACTTACTTGACGTCCGTGGTCATGGATACCCTATTGTTCCGATCCATGGAATTATGCCCTCGGAACAGAACACAGAACACAAATTGAGAATTTCGGTTCGGTTCTGGAACAAGTACATTTTACCCTTTCACAACTTAAATCGCCACAAAACAGCATTTTCTTTCAATATTTTTGCACCAAAAGAGGTTCATTCTTTGCACTCCTTCTCTTTGAAGAGTTTTGAAGAGCTTTTTTGCTACCAAGTAGACCCTAGATAATCAACTTATTTTAATCTTATACACGCAGTCACTCTGTGCCGAACTGTCCAGAAATTGTTCCGTTCTGAAGCAAAGTGTTCCCCAACGAATCGTTACGATTTTTTTTGTTCTTTAACATCTCTAATCATTTTGGTGTTTCTTATTTTTCAAGATTTCTAGCTTCAAGATGGGATTCCTGGTGAGTAGAAAGTGTAGGCATTTTTTAAAAAAAAGCAGGGACATTCTAATTTTTCAACTTAATGTTTTTTATCTGTGGCTTTCTAATTTTTCAAAGTCCAATTTAT